AAATACCCCATATCAAAAAGCTGGTTACATGAATTCAGGTCTTTTCAAGAGAGACTATATAAAGCTGATCTGAATTATAGTTTTGAGAACTACATGAAGACCCAGAACTTACACACTATCGTGCTCACTCCATATTCTTGTGCACTTACATTTGAATAATGCCAAAAGAAATATATCAAAATATTAACACTGACTGCATTAAAGCTAGCAGACCAGGCATGACCCTGTTTCCCTTTTCTATTCTAGTTTTCATACCTTTGAAAAAGGGATTCAAATTCTACACTGAAAACATTAGACCAATAATGGCAACAGAACTTCAAATGAAAAGAGAGATAAGGAGCTAGTACCCCAGTGTGAAGTACTTTATTTGCTTTTAAAGTTAGATTTAAGTATATACAGCCAAGAGAAAAACTAGATAATATGTAATCACAGATTGGAGCTGTAACTTGTGGTCAGGCTGAGGAGATGTTGGAGAGCTATGAGTAATTTTATGATATTAAGCCAAAAGTAATATTGAGTTCATGTGCTTCAGCAGCAACACACAGTTGGCCCTCAATACTTATGGGGTCAATATCTGTGGTGTCAACCAACCACAGACCAAGAATGTTTTTTTAGAATTATGTTGTTGATATATATTATGTAGTTAAGCCTATGCTGGTGGTATCTGTACTGAACATACACAACTTTTTTTTTAATCTTGAAAATATTCCATAAACCATATAACAACACACTTACATTCCATTAGGTATTATAAGTAATCTTTAAATATGATATTTAAAGTGTATGAGAGGATCTGCATTTGTTATATGCAAATTCTATGCCATTTTATGTAAGAGACTGGAGCAAGTGTGGATCTGGGTATCTTCAGGTCTGGGAGTGGGGAGAGCTAAAACTAATCCCCCATGGATGCTGAATATTTTAAAATACTGGAATAGTTAAAGTCAGAAGATAAAGGTACTCCCCTGCTTTGGGACAAACCACACTTTATATAACTGGATTTCATTCATAGAAAACTCAGGAATCTACATTTCTCTAGAATTGCCATCAAGGAAAAGTTTGTAGACTCATATGGGAAAGAATTCTAGCCAATGAATGGGAGCTCTTAGAAGATCACTTTCAACATGTGAGATATGCTACGTCTGGAGAAAGTAAGTGTCCCCTTGTTAGACATGTGAAGGACTGAACAGGGGAGAATAAAGACCTTTAAAGTCTTCCTAAGCACTGAGGTTCAGTGGTCTCAAGAACCACTGGAGAAGCATATTAAAGGCAGGAGTCCAAAAAGAAGACTGCCCTCACACACGACTCTTTTCATGGGGTAACTCTCCTTGTCATGTTTAACTCTACCATCTTTTAATCTGGAGCCACTGAAGCCATTGATGCAGCTCAGAAGTCATGTGTTTACCTGATCTTCCTATTTGGAGTACCACAGTTTATATTCACCCTATTCACCCTTTATTGAGTTTACACTTTCCCTTTACAGAGAAACTCATGGAAAAGGTTCTATAATCTCTATAATGAGCACAGATGGATAGACAGATCTAAGACAAATGGATAACAGTATTTCCATTTATTATTTCCATTCAAAGAAGCAGTGTTCATTCACTAAAATAATGTAAAATGTAATATGTATACATATTACATTATTTTAATAATAATGTGTGTGTATATATATATATATATATATATATATATAGAGAGAGAGAGAGAGAGAGAGAGAGAGAGGTGTCTGTGTGTGTCTGTGTGTGTGGAGAGAGAGAGAAAAAGAAAGGAAGTAAAACATAGCAAAACAACTATACTTCAAACACAGCAGTGACCTAAGGAAGTCAACATTTTGATGTTTTTTTCTTTTGGTCATGTTTTAAGCCTTTATAATATATAGATTAAATTTTAACATAAGGGAAATCTTTCTATGTTCAGTCTTCCAACATGAAAAAGAATGTTTTCAAGAGTTAAAATTTTCTTCTCAATGAAAAGACTAAATAACCATCTATAAGGAATATGGTATAGGGAGGTGCCATCTTTAGAACAGTAGGTGATCTAGACCAGGGATTGCAAAATTTTTCTGTAAAGGACCAGGTTATACATATTTGCGGCCTTGGAAGTCATCCCATTTATGTTCCAGTTATCGATCTCTGCTGCTGTGACATAAAAGTGACCAAAGACAACAAGTTAATAAGGAGCTATGACTGTATTCTAATAAAACTTTATCAAAACACATGGTAGGCAAGATTTATCTCATGGGTTTTAGTTTTCCAACCTCTTAAACCAACTAAATAGCTTAACTAAACCACATAACCCACTGGACTTTTATAGCTTCAAAGTTCTTATGAAGAAAGAGAAGAATACCTCACTCAAAATGAAGACAAATTCTGCTGGACTTTAATGGTCACATGAGAGTTGAGTTCAAGAAAGTCAACTCGGGTCTTGTTAGGCAAACTCCAATTTTTATCATTAAATACCAGGAGACCAAACTGGAAGACTGATGGATGAATGTCTTAAGAACAGAATGTGTTTAAAGAATCAAGACAAGTCATTAGTCCATAGGAAGACAGAATCTGGGCAAAAAGAATAGAGAGCAAATATTTGTAATGAGTTTCACTCTGTGCTTGGCATGTACATGCTTGATAAATAGTGACAAAATTATTCACTTGCTCTGTGGTGCTAATTCACTCAGTCAGTGTACTTATGCATCAGACACTTATTGAGAACCTCTTGTGTGTCAAGAACCTCACTAGGTGCTGACAATACAACACCAAATAAGACATATAACAACACCAAACAATAAGGACAAGATCATTTAGTAAATTGTCACGACCTAGGCTGATAAATGCTAAAGCAAAATTAGAAATAGTGAGAGCAAGGATTGTGGTAGATGATCAGGGTAGCTTTTCAGGAATGGTGATAACTGAATGAGCCCTGGGCATGAATGGGGTCAGGATGGTGAGAGGTTTTGTGAAACATCAGAGCCATTATTTTCTAGATTGAGGGGTCTCATACTCAGAGGCCTGTGGATGAGATAGACCCACATAAAGTACAGTCATCTATCTGATCATAGACAGAGGTGCAAAAAATATACATTAGTGAAAAGATAGTCTTTTTGACAAATGGTGTTGGGAAAACTGGATATCTGTATGTAGAAGAATGAAATTACATCCCTTTCTCTCACCCTGCACAAAAGTCACTTCAAAGTAGATGAAAGACCTAGGAATTAGATCAGAAGCATTGCAACTACTAAAAGAAAATATAGGGTCACCATTCCAACATATTGGCGGTGCTGGCACTGACTTCATTAATAAACTTCCTAAAGTAAGAAATAAAACCAAGAATCAATAAGTGAGATGGTATCAAATTAAAAAAGCTTTTTGCGCAGAAATGGAAACAAGAACGTGACAAGAGACTACAGGATGGGATCAAATATTTATCATCTACACTTGCAATGGGGGATTAATATCCAGAATATATAAAGAACTCAAAAAACTGAACACACACCCACAAAAAAATCTGCACTGAGATTTTATCTCCTGCCAGTCAGCACGGCAATCACCAAGAATAAGAATAAATGCTGTCAAGAATATAGGAGGAAAGGTACACTCACACATTGGTGGTACACAAATTAGTGCAACCACATTGGAAAGCAATATGGAGATTCCTTAAAAGAATAGGAATACAACCATCATATGACCCAGCTATCCCACACTCCTTGGTATTTATCCAAAGGAACTAAAATCAGCATACTTTAGTGATTCATGAATACCAGTGCCTATAGCAGCGCAATTCATGATAGCTAAGTTATGGAACCAGCCCAAATGCTCATCAACAAATGAATGGATAAAGAAAATGTGGTGTGTATGTGTGTGTGTGTATATATATATATATATATATATATATATATATATATGTGTGTGTGTGTGTGTGTGTGTGTGTGTGTGTGTGTGTGATGGACTTTTACTCAGCTATAAAGAAGAATGAAATTATGTTATTTGCTGATAAATGGATACAACTAGGGAACATCATGCTAAGTGAAATAAGCTAGACTCAGAAAGTCAAGGGTTGAATATTTTCTCTACTATGCACAAGTTAGAAAGAGAAAAAGAAAGAAATATAAAAGGGCGATCTTATGAAAATAGAAGGGAGACCAACAAAGTAAAGGAAAGGGATCAAGAGGCAGGGAGGAGGATTGGGCATAGGGAATTACTGGTGGAAACATCTACCAAATTATCCTATTCCATGGATGAACATATTGCAATGAATCTCACTTGTGTATTTAATTGAAATATACTAATTGACATAAATAATAATAAAATAATAATAACAGAAGGGAGATGAGCAGAGTAGAACAAGAAGGTTGGAAGAAGGAAGAGGGAAGGGAAAGGAAATAACTATAGAGAATGCAATTGATCACTTTATGTTATGTGTGTATACTAATATGGATAATGAACCCCACAGTTATGGATAATTATAATGCAACAATAGTTTTTCTTTTGAAAAGGTCTGTGGGTAAGGGCAATCGTGTGACTTTCTGGAGATGCAGATGAGTTAGCATGGCTGGGAAGAAGGGAGCAAGCTGGGAAGGCAAGGAGGCTGAAATCAGGTCCTAAAGAGCCTTTAAACCTATATGGTGTTCTGCCTTGACCTTCAAAGTGGAAACCCATTTTAAGCAGAGGAGTAATTTGACAAGATGTGCATTTTAGAAAAACCAACAGGAAAAAAATGCATGTAATGGTCTGTTAGAGGGTTTTAATCAAAACCATGTCAGTTATTTTTTTATGAGAGCAGTTTTAAAGGCCCCAGGAAGGACCACTGTAAGATAGGTGCTCAGATTTGTGGCTAAAGTAGATGCAAGGCAGCTCTGACATGTACTCTCCCTTTCCCTGCCCAATCCACACCCAAGTCTGCCTTCCAGTACAGTTCTGTTGGCAAGTGGTAAACTGTATTCCTTGCTCACAATTATTTCCACTTATCCAGAAGAGATAACAATCCTTTGTTTTCTCTCTTTACAGAGTGCTCTTTGATTGAACTTGGATTAGCCTCAGATCCACCTACCCAGATTTCATGTTATATAGGTGAGTGATATGGTTCTTTTCCTTCTATTTATCATCTTTGGTAATGAGCCAAATTAGGGTGAGAGCTTGACTGGTTAGTTGTTTTTTTTTCTTTCCGTTTTGGGTTATTTTGTATTTGTGATTCTCAAACCTACCCCCAAAGTCTTTGAAGTTCTGTCCATCCCCGTATCTAGTACATAGTCTAGGTGTACAGGTGTACTACACACTCTCATGAGACATTGAGTTTAAGATCTTAGTTGCCTTTCATTTATGACTCTAGAATCAGAGCAGGTTCTAAGAACTCCATCCAGCAATGCAGTCAGACAATTTTTATATGTAGAAAACAAATAAAGTAGAGCACTTAATTGATTATAACTCTGTGTTTACCTTACTGGAATCAGATGCCTGGGTCTGACTGAAGCTCAGTTGCCTTAATTGGCTGCAACTTAGCTATTTGTTTTAAAAAGTGTACTCCTAAATTACATCTTTAGTTTAAGTACTAAGCTAGGTTGCAGTTTATTACTGAACCACAGAGGGGACCTCAGGCCAAATTTAAGTTAATTTAATCAACATCTTTAGAGGTATACTCCACTGACCCCCAGCTCACAATTGCATATCTAAAGAGATGTACTAAAATAATTGTTCATGAGGTATAAAGAAAATTTAAATTCTGTACAGAATTTTTATGTTCCAAGGAATCCTGTTACAAATTGTCAAATAAGTCTGAAAAAATAATCACTGCTTCTTTGTGTCCTAATCAAAAGTAATCAGTATTCACACTGGAGGTATACCTTATGTTCAGTAATGAAATTGCTTCTGTAACTGCTTTGGTGTGATATGTTATTGAAATGTTGGTGACAAGATTCAGAGTTTGTCCCAGATTGAAACAAAATCAAAGGGTAAATGCTAAAATGAGTTATTTAAAAAACTTCCTGAAAACATTTATGACTGTCACATAAGCTACATTCTCATGGAAGAATGGAACGTACTTTCAAACATGTTATCTATTCCGGCCTCTTCTTCAGAGTTGTTGTGGAATGGGATGTTGTTTTGTTTTTTGTGAGGGAAGATTGATTTGGAGTTGTGGTTATTGGGAAGCACAGTACCTACAGGTGTGTGATAAGAAACTCCTGTTTCTTCTATGAAGAAAAGTGTTCATTCCGGAGACTGAGTTGTTTCTGGCTTTTAGTGCAAAATATTTCTTGATACGTAAGTGCAGATTGGGAATAATAAATACTCTCAAAGACACAATTAACATAACACATTTTTTTCATACCCACACATTTTGCCTGTACTACTGGCAATAATTTGGAGGGGGAAAAAGAAGTTTGAAAAATATCATTTACTTTACAGTAATTGGTTCTTTTTGTAGTCTTCTTTTCCCCATCTTAGCACCTTTGTCAGTATTTCACTACCTCTGTATGCACTCCTGGAGGAAAAACTTTTCAATTTCTGGGGCACCATGATTATCTGCCCTGTTGTTCCCATTGTTATATTTGGAGTCACAGACCTCACGCTTTGATTTTTGGTTCAGAAAATAAAGTCAATATGTGCCTTCCACCAATTTCTTCACATAGTCCTCCATCCCATCCCACTTCCACATCAGCACACATCACAAATGCCTTACTATTTTTACTTTTGGTTCTAAGCCAATTCCATTTCTAATTTTCCCATCCAAGTACAATGCAATCACTTTTGGATTGTGGCACATTGTTGAAAACATGCTATATGCAAGATCTTTTCATTTTTTAACATAAAAAATATCAGAATTTCAACTTGAAAAACATTTCACAAATCTTAAAATCCCTACATGCTCTCTGAAATAAGTTGTGAGAAACATGTCAGTTGTGTTTCTCAGCACACCTGCAGGAAATTATTTACAATTTTTATCATATTATTTAACCCAGTTCTATTGCTAGCATTAAATGTTTCAGTAGTTATTAATGTAACAGAAAATTGATGTGTTAACCTCACATGAAATCAGTTTTACTTTTATGGAAAGCAAGATGGAATGATGTGTCTGTTATCTCAACACAAGTATTTCTGCAGACATTCTATAAAAGAATAGAAAGATAATAGGGTTAGTACCAAAAATGATTACCCTTTTAGATGCTGTGTCTTACTCTTTCCTCAACCTTTTGAGTGGTCTGGTGGATTCTAACATTCGAGTGTGAGACTCCAAAAATCTAAAAGAAATCATTTTAGCAGCAAATGAATGCTTTACTACACTTGAATCTAATGTGTTAAAGAAAAAGTATCTTTTCTCAACTGGCATTTTCTCTTGATATTAAATATTCTAATTGCCACTCGATAATTTATACTTGGTTAATTTTAAATTTTCTATATTGATGTGACATGAATGTTATACAAATTAAACCATTATATATTATTCTGTTAAACCACTAATTATCTATCTGAAGATGTATACCAATATCAGGGGAATAAATCTTTCTTCTCAGAACTAAACCTAGTTCTTGGTCACTAACGTGTATGAACCAGAAGCCTGGTTTCCTTGTTCAGTTCTTGAAATTATAGGGTGTTAGCTGTAACTCTTGCCCACTGAGGTATACAACTTGGGTTGACCATTTGTTGATGAAGCCACCAAAAATCAGGAGTAAGGCAGTCGAGGTCCTAGCAACAATCCACTTCATTAACTGAAAGGATCAATTATGAAAAGTATTGTTAATTCACTAACAGCATTAGTAGGAAAATATGGGATATAAAAGTGCAAATTACCTCTAAAAAATCATACTCAACAACATTAATGTATTCACCATCATTTTAAATATCACCAGCAAAATCTTGAGTGTAATTTGTTTAAGCACTTAGGATTCCTCTGAACCCGTTTGACCATCAGTGGTCACACTCTGCATCATGGGATGAACCTAGTTCTCATCCGTCTCCTTGTTAAGGCCTTTATAATTGATGGTGTGATTTCAAGACAGAAGGAAGAAGACCACAGTTTGATCTATATCAGCCTACATGGTTCAACCCATTGTTCTTATTTGCTCTTTCTTTCATTGAACTAATTATCTCTAGAGGTCAAACAATTTCTGTTAAAATTCAGCCTTAGCTTCTGACAGAAAGACCACAGTGCCTAAGTTGTAGTTCTTGAAACATGGCCTATCAACATCTGTTAAGACTTGAGAAATCGGTGACCCACTTGAAGATATCTGGTGGTTTCCAATGCATTTAATTGCACTTCTTGGTTCATGTAGGTCATCCTCTGCAGGTATTAACTTTTCGCTATAGTGTGACATCATAGTACAACCTTTCCAAGGACGTTTTGAGCAATTATTATATATCTAAATTGAGTGTAAAATTCATATATGGAGCTACCAATGCAACTAGCTCACCCAACTCTACACATTGCCAAGTTCATAAGTGTACAGGCAGGAACAACTCTGTCACAAGTTATTCCACTTTCTAGGAGCTACAGGGTTCTTTCTGGCATCCCTTATAATATACATTAATATATCAGATCATTAAATGTGAAAAATGTTCCTCTCAGAGCTAAGGATATAGAGCAATTAACATTTCAAGGAACAAGTATTTTTTGTATTAATACAAAAAAAAAAAAAACCTAAGCCATGAACATCTACTCCAGTGCCTGCAGACTCTTACTTACCTCACTTTCATTCTCCCCCCATTTGATCTTTTTTTCCTTTTCTTCTCATTCTCCTGAAGAATTGCATGTGTAAACCTTTCGCCCTCTGTTTATCTTTTTTATATTTTTCCTAGAAGAAAAGAAACTCATTACTGATTGATAATTTTTACTACAAATTGAAATGCTGCTGTTTAAGGTGGGAGTATCTTTTTAGTGCGGGTCTATAGCTAGAGTGACCATATATCCAATCTAGCATAGTCTCTGTATGCCTGCCGTCCATGTGTAATTATTAATCACATTCTGGTCAGTTCTCCAATGTGTCCTTGATTGATAAGTCCTTTGATAAAGGGTTCCAACCAAATCATCAAATGCCTCCAGTCAGTGCTTGTGAAGTCCTTATATCTGTCAGTATTGGTAGATAAGGACTGTCAGAAAGAGATGGGGGAATAACTGAGTATAAGTTACTCCAAAAACCAGAAGAATCTATGTGAGGGACCTCAATTGGGAAGGTGACAGGGATGCCTGAAGACAGACCCATATGGCAGGAAATAAAGTGGTGGTTATATAAGGAACCTGGGCTTAACAAAGATGGCGGGACACCAGGACACCAGGTCATTAGACAGAGTTCCTGTTGTGCACCAACTCTGAGGGCCCAGGCTTAGCAGACATAGGGTCAGTGGTTCTGGTGGCTAGATGGTGTTTTCTCCTTTTTTTTTTTCTGAGATTCTCCTCAGTATTTTGCAATGTTATTTTTAGTGATGTCAGGCTCTCCACTATGTCCACAAAACAAAGGTTTTTGTCTAACCTGAGACTAGATCTTTAAACGTAGGACATCATATTTATGGGAATGGGATCACCTTGGGAGCATCATGCAACCCCACCTAAGGAAGAAGCAGGCCCCTCCAGGGCAGAATCTGGCCATCTAGAGGCTACAAAACAGCCCTAGGCAGGCTCTGTCTCCTGAATGCCTCCTTGCCCTTTGCCTTCCTCTCTCCCCCTACTCTTCTGTCCGCACTTTTCTCTAGTTCATCAGCCAGGCTAGCTCCTTCACGTCCTCTCTCACCACTAACTATAGCACATCTTAGATAAAATTTGATGACACACACATCACATCGCTTAATTTTAAAGATAAGAAAATTGGATATTTTATAACTGTCTCAAATAGAATCAGAGGAAAAATTATGATAATTTTAAACCAAATTATTTTATTTTATTTTTAATTAATATGTCTTTGGGGCTCTTCAGGTTAAAAAAAAATGACTTTTGTTCCAGTGTACAAGTGTTTAATGACTTTTTCTTTCTCTTTGATAATTTGATCATGATTTCTATGAATAAGACTTGAAAACCATGCTCCTTTCAGAGGAGGCCAAAGAAGCACGTTGAACACAAGGTGGGTGCAGCATATTGTGGGAGG